TGCTATTACACTAGCTGCTGTGTAAGCCTGTAGAAAGAAAGAGCTCTTGCTCATAAGCAGTGAGCTGAAGTAGCATTCTTCTTGAAGTGACTTAGAGCATGAGATCCTAATAATGGGTACAACATGTATCATGTGAAACATCAACATACATAATACTTTTTTAGTTGCCACAGAAAGACAAACCTGGACTTAAGTCAGGGCAAAGCACTTGTTCATGTATTAACAAAGCATTCACTGTTGTTTTGTCCGCAGATAATAGGAGAGGGATATGAACACAGCACATAGAAAATCCATACACTCAGATGATGGAACACTAAACTGGTGTCCTCAAGGACACAGCCCCAGTGCACCCTGCAGCACCCCACAGAGCCAACGCACTCCTGTACTAGAGCTTCTATTTCAATTCAGTTGCTATGAATGAAGGAAGGAACCTCTGTATTTTGTAAGCCTGGAAGATGAAAGAGCTAATTCAGGCATGTGAATGCTGTACCTTGCACATATCTTTATGCTAAAACAATATGTGGTAAAGTAATTGAGGTTTCAGTTACCACTGGCAACATTTGTTCTTCTGAAGCAGATTTATGGGGGCTTGTTTTGTTCCACTTTAGGTTTAAAGCCTGTATATTTCCTAGCTGTTTAAAGAATGAAAGAATTTAAGATTAACAGCCTTGTACAAACCCAAGCAAATGCAATCAAGTATCCAATACATACTGGCTGAGAATTATTCCGGACCTTAAAATTGAGCTTCTGTTATACAATAAAAGCAGAGAAGAGACTTGTTTGCCTGTGGTGTTCTAGAGAAGAGCTCAAAGCTTGTTGGATGCAAGTTCCCCAGGCACAAGCATTTGATGTTCATATTTGACTACCAACAAGGACAACATTACACCTTATAATTTGAATGTCCATTAACCAAATTAGAAGAAGGTGGTTTTTTTCTCCTGTTAAGCTAAAACTGGAGGTGCCTGCAGGATAGCTGAGCAGTTCAGGATTCTCCTTCCCTGGGACACTTTCCACGCAGCATCAGTCTTCCTGTTTTATCTCGGTTTCTCTCCGCAATCCTTGCTATCAGCTTTTTGGGGTTATTCTTAAAGCAAAGCTGGCAGCAGTTGTCTTGAAATCTTAACCTGTAAACACATTGCCTTTGTTCACAGGGTTGAAAGCCCTGTCCAAATAGAACACGAGGGTAGTTTGATCAGGTAGCCAGGGTTGAGCTGTCTGTGCTTGGAAGCTGTCAGCACTGAAGTGATGGTCTGGGTCTCACCTTGGTTTATTTTAGTTGCATATTGTACCTAAAACCAGATCGCAGAAAGAGTAAGATTTGACTGACTGCACTTGTTTAGATTGTACTTAAACCATGCAGATAAACAACAGAGAGATGTTTTTTAGAGGATTCAACCTATTTTTAACACTACTTAAATAGTATATTCTAACACACTTTATATATAAAAGTTTGGGGTTTGTTTTAATCAAGCACTGCTTTGTGGGAAATAAATGAGGTTTTATTACCCACCATTGTAACAAAATACCCCTAAACTTAGCTGCACACACTGAAGTCACTGTAAAATGTACTCCACTACAGCTGGGCTATAGAAAATCAACAGAACTGATCATGTCTCTGCTGAAACGTGAATGGTGTCTATAGAAGTCTGAGGTCTACAAAGCAACTGGGTTAATGCTGTTTCTGTGAACAAATGACAAGCTCTAGTTTGTAATTTTAGTCTTTTTAGAGTCTTGATTATGACATTTCTTGTTCTCTTAAACTTGAAGAAAGTAAATAATTGAGTTTGTGGGTGATGAGCTGCCAGCCACAGGGCATTGTGAAGCTGTGTACGTGGTGGTTAATGCCTGCTGGGCTCCCAGCCAAGATGGTCAAAATACTACAGCATGAAGTTAGGATCTCCTTGTGTTGTCATTTGCCCACTGCCATCAACTGGCTGCCCATAACCTGGCATTAGGAATTAAAACCAAACTATGATGCTCCTGAATGTGACCATGAATCATGGGATCTCTGGCTGTAAAACACCACAATGATAAAACATGAAGTCAGCTGGATATGGTGTTCCTAAAACTCATTATTTTGCCTTGCTGAGCCTTTCAGTGAAACTAAGTAGGTAAGAATTCAGTATTCATGTGAGGTACAGCATCCCCAGGGTGCTCTTAAATGCTGTGGTATAAGAGAATAAAGCAACTGGCTATGTTAAGTGCCTTTGGAAAGAAGGGAAAATACACTTGTGCTTGCAAAATCAGACATAATGGAGGAATAAACATCTCCATCTGGTAATGCATACAAAACATTGCCTGAGCCTCCATCCTGTACTCACACCTTTGGCTCCCAACCTCTCAGGGAATCAGTAGGGTCCGCCACAGGAAGCTTCTTCTGCCCAGTTCTGCAGGTGCCAGGGTACACCGCAACACACCGCACAGCTTCTATTTCAAATGAAACCACGATCGCAATTACCTTCAGTGATGTATCTTCAAACCGTCCCCTCTAAAGCTCCTTCTGCAAAGGACAACAAAAACCTTGGCAGGGGGAAACAAAACCAATTGTCACGGGAAGGAAACAAAATCACTGGGAAAGTTTTTTCATTCAAAAACCAAAGCAACTGCCTTTGTGGCTTCCTCCCCTCAATAGCTGATACTCACTAAACATCCAAGGCAAAGGAAAAACCAAGGAACACCAAAGAGAAATGTTTTCCTCAACACACAAGGTGTTTTCTGGAACTAAATGAAGAGACAACTCTTTACTCATAAAGTGCAACATAAAAGGAATAAAATAACAAGATGGCAGAATAATTACTGTAGGGATAGAAGGGCAAATAAACTATAGATTATGATGTAAAATGGCAGCACCTTGAATACTTAAATGTGTATCAGTATTTGAGTTTCTCACTATAGTATAATGCAGATTCAGCCAACACACTCAGTAGGAAGTCAACTTCTTGAAGAAAAAGTATTATCTTTGTTATTTGCTGTGTTTCAGAAAAATAAGCCATGTCCTGGAATGTGACCCTTGCTTCCCATTTCTGTATTTCGTTATTATGGCAATTATAGCTCATGGGTGTTTCCCAAATCAAAATGATGTTTTAGAAAGTTTTCGCTGTGGGGAAAGTGCTTTATCAGTTTGATTTATTCTTGCACCAGTATGATACTCAGCTGCAACTTGTCTTCTACCATTGAGCACAATATCCATGCTTTAAAATCATTACTACTCCACGGATACAACAGATCCTATCAGAGAAAACAGTCTTGCTGATACAACCTGCTACAGTACAGTCTTTCTCAACACAGAAGTTACTCCCATCATGAACTGTGCTCCCCTGTACTGTTGAAGCACACTGTGTGCACTCTGTACATCTGTTAAGCTGCAGTAAACACTTAAAGCTCAGATCACTTCATTATTATTGCCATTTTTCTCACCTCGGACCTGTTCAAAGTGACAACCCACGTTCTGTAAGCACTTTGAATGCTGCAGTGGCAAAAATAACCTGGGGGTTCCTCTGACTGAATGGAAAGCTGTATCCACAAACCTCTAATCCATCCTTCCCAAGGAAGGAGCAAGATCCTTGTGGACATGAACTGCAGAAACCAGTATCAAAGTGATACCTCTGTATCTCTGCCATATGGTATTAGTAAAAGGTAGGAAGAAAGCATAAGATCTCAGTCAATGTGGAAACCACCAGCACAGTGACAATCTGCCATGCAATGACAACTGTGCTTTTCAGCTGAGGCTTTGCCAGTACAGTACATTCAACAGGGATTTGTACTGATCACTGTTGGCTCCAGCAGTTTCTTGCCCTTAGCACCTCTTTACCTTAGTTTCTTGCCATGCTTGCCTCTCTTACCCCTGTTGTCTTGCCCAGTTCATTTCTCTTCAGCAACTGCCATTCCCCCACCCCTTCTCACACAAAAGTACCTGGGAAGCTGCTCAGCTGGGGTTGTCTTCTGGGGCTTATTCCCCTTTCCCTCCTCTCCGGTCCATAACCTCTCTGGCTGAGACCTCGCTCTGCTGCCTCAGCACAAGTGGCGATTATTTTGGTTGCCTTGGGTCCTGCCTTTACAGCTGTGACCAGGGAGCTGTGATAGAGCCCTGGCTTCTCTTCTCAGTGTGAGCCCAAGGACAGCATGGGCTCCCTCCCATATGGGCAGCCAAGGGAACCATGACTGCTCTAGCTTCAGCAACATCATAGAATAACTTGGGTTGGAAGGGACCTCAAAGCTCCTCCAGCTCCAACCCATGCCACGGGCAGGGACCCCTTCCACTGGAGCAGCTTGCTCCAAGCCCCTGTGTCCAACCTGGCCTTGAGCACTGCCAGGGATGGGGCAGCCACAGCTTCTCTGGGCACCCTGTGCCAGCGCCTCAGCACCCTCACAGGGAAGAGCTTCTGCCTAAGAGCTCAGCTCAGCCTCCCCTCAGGCAGGTTCAAGCCATTCCTCTTGCCCAAAACCCCTCTCCAGCTTTCGTCCCATGAGATTTCTTTCTCCTGAGGCAGCTCTACACTATTCGACACCGTACTGTACAGCACAGCCATCCCCAGCCCCCTCCGTTCAGCCACATCCCCACAGTAACGCAGGACGCAGAGCCGCACCATGCTTTAATGCCCGAGCCAGCTTCGCCAGTCTCTCGCCACACCGCTCCTCGCTATCGCCAGCCCTATACGCCCAGGTCGGTAACAACCAGTCCCCACGGGTGCCACACCGAGTACCGAACGCGTGCTTTGAGACCCACATTTATACCAACCCCGGAGCCGCACCCGAGGCTCTGAGGCACCGCCCCTCCCACCGCGGTGCCGCCCTGAACCGCTCCACGCATGCGCACATCCCCCGCCGCACGCCTCCCCCGCCAACGGCTGCGGGTGAGCAGTGCGCATGCGCAGGGCTCCCCCTCTCCCCTCCCGCCGTTCCCGCGTGCTCCCGCCAATCGGGCGCCGCCCCGCAGCGTCGCGCCGTCGCGGCCCGAGCGCGCCGTGCGTGCGTGCGTGCGTCCGCCCGCTTATGCGTGCGTGCGTGTGCGTGCGTGCTTGCGCTCGGCGGCGGCGGCGGCGGCGGCGCAGCGTAGCGTCCCCTGCCCCGAATGAAAGGGACGGTCCCGGCGAGCTGAGCGGCCGTGAGCGACCGGTGGTGACGGGCTGCGGGGTGCGCCAGCGCTGCGCCTCTCCCCGGCGACACACCCGCCACACGGGTGAGTGACTGACTGAGTGACCGCCCGGGTGCCCAACCGCCTCGCTGCCCGCCCAACTGCCGCTTTGCCGCCCGCCCGGGGCAGGCACGGAGACCCCGGCCCACCCGTCCGCAGCCCCCGCGACCCGCGGAGCCCGCCCTGCCCCTCCGCCGCCTCGCCGCCGGTGCTTGGGCCTCAGCGAGCTGCACACCCCCGAGCAGGACCCGGCACCCAGCGCTGCCTGTTCAGGGGGCGACCCCCGGTGCCGTTACCCGCCCCCCGCCCCCTCCCCGAGCCGACGGCAGCCGCTCGCTCCGCCCGCCTCGGCCCGCTCCCTCCTTCCCTGGAGGATCCGCCCCCCCTTGTCTCCGAGTCCCGTTTCCCCCAGAATTTGTGATCGCCCTTCCCCGGAGCCCCGCGTCCCACCGAGCCCCCCCTCGGCAGCCCCTCCGCCGTGGAGGGGGAGTCAGGCCTCGTTGGTGCTTGCGGCCGGGCCTTTGAGGGGGCAGTCGCAGCGATCCCTCGCCGAAGGGCGCCGCGCCGAGCCCCATCGTACCCCCGGGGAGGCGAGCGGCAGAGGTGCCGTTATCGACCTATCTCTTGCTTCCCGCGGAGCGTGGAAACTTTGCTGTGCTCTCTGCCCGATCCTCGTCGCTGCGGGCTCTGTGTAGTCTTTAGTTAACCTGCTCTGTTCTTGTTGTTCAGAGTTCCCAACGTTGGGCCTTCCCCTTGCACCCACCTTTACCCCCTTCGGTTTTGTTTTGTTTTGTTTTGTTTTTTTTCCTTTAAGGAAGTTACATGGAGAAGTTCTTATCCCGCTTTTTCTAGCGGCTGTAGGATGCTGTGTGAGCTTAACTCTTGAGTAGAGATTTCCGTGGGACTTGTGACTTTGGGCGCTCAACTGCAGGCCCCGCTTTCTCCACAGCTTCACCCCCTTTCTCCAGAATAATGCCCCCAGTGATGGGTGATTGACTCTAGAAACTAGAAAGCGCCTAAAAGTTTACTGAACAGAGAATCTGGTAGTGAGCATCTTGGGAAAGAAGTACACAAATGTTTCCTGAGAGTCCAAACCTCTTCAGTGTTGGTATTTTACAACACTCGTATAGTTCTCTTGGAGGTTTTCTTTAAGTAAAAGTGGTGATTTTAAAGTACTGTGAATCTGGAATCACACAGCAAACCCAGCTTCCCATGGGAAAGCATAGTGTGGAGGTTCCTGCCCTTTATTGGGAATACAAGTGGGGCTTTAACTCCTGGGAACAGGTGAAAGCTCCTGAAGCGTATTTAGGCAATAGATAGACATCAGAATGCAGGTTACTTTCTGTTTCTGGATGCTGACCGATGACTCGGGCACCGAGGGTGTCCTCCTTTGCGCTCCTCTTTTATGTTCCCAAATCCATCATCCAGAACTCGGTAAACAGGATGCAAACTGTAGGAGTTTGTCAAACACTTTGCTTTAAAGGTAAAAAAGAAAGGTGCTGTTGGGGGAAGCACTGTACGGAATACCTTAGTAGACATTAAGAAATGTGAATGTAAATGAACCCTAATTTTGGAGGGAAGAATCACTGAATGAGTTTCTCCTTTTGTGACTTGAGGGTAGGTGAAACTTTCCCTTGTTTTTTGAGACCAAGCCTGTGGAAAACTTATCTGCATGTAATCATCTGTGGTTTGTGGTACACGTGTTCAGTTCTGGTCAGGATCTTCCAGTCAGAGGTTCCGTAGCACATCGCTTTCTGTGATCAAACCTATGAGACTTTCTCTGACAAACGAGGTTCTGGCAATGGGATGTTTAAATGCTATTTTCTAAGTCTTTTATTCACTTGTCAGCTTTTAAAACATGGAAAAACAGAACTAGAGAGCTGTTTGGAAGGTGTGTTATTTTTCTTGTTCTGAGGAAATGCAGCTGAATACTTGGCAAATTGGATTGATTGTTTTGAGGTGATTTAACTTGAGAGATGAAAACCGAATTTGGAGTGTCTGTGTTCAGAACAACCCTGGGTCTGTAGCAGAGCTGCGTAACTTGGTCCTTGTTGTCCAGAAAATGGGTATTTTTAAATGGACAGGGGAAGAAGCATATTTTGGCATAAGAGATCCCAGGGTAGTGTTTTCTCACATTTATGAGCAAACACATATAGTTTAGGGAGATGTTTACAACTGAACTGTGTATGAAATATTCCTCATGCTCATTTATTTTCCTGTAGTTATTAGAAATGCAGGAAAATAAATAGTATTAATATTCAGTGATAATACCCAATGATAAACACTAATGCAAAGAGCGCAGGATTGGAAAGAAGACTTTTAGATATCCTTGTAAAATGCTCTGGAGTAATTTAATGTGATGGGGGAAAAGAACGTGGGTCCCCTTTCTGGTGTACCCTGATGCCTTTGATCTGTTTGTGTTACAAATAATTTTTCAAGTATTAAATTATTTATAATTGGAGAAGTATTCCAAACCATAGGATTTAGGGGTTTATTTTGATTTTTAATATCAACATCAGTGCACCATCAGGTAAATATTGGCATTAGTTTTAACCTCACTGTAAGCCTTGAAAAACCTAATGATGCCAAAGTACTTGAAGAAGTTGGGTTCTGTCAGGCTGTTAGTGCATGGGAAGGCATGGAGCTGAGGGCAGCTGACTGCAGCCAGCTGTGAGGAGGTTCTTTAGCATCTTGGTGCTTGGAAAGTTACTATTCTTTAAGTGAAAGATGATGAGAGTCACTTAATACATTTTTATGTGTTCTATAAATTGCTTGCATTTCCTAAAATATGAATTTGCTTGTTAAATGGAAGGATAGCTGGGTTTTATAGCAGAAATTCTTATTCCTGTAAGGCAGTAGAACGTGTGTGTGTTCAAGTAAACTCCTCTTTTAAGAACTACTATCACTGCTGTAAATATATTGATATATTTATATGAATATAAAATGAAACAGACCCAAATGATTGTGTGTATCAAATTCTTAATACCAAAGCAGAACTTCTTGTATTTTAACTTAATTTAATGTATTTCTAACCCATCACTATAGGATTTATGTTAAGCCTTTTAATGTGATTGGAAAACAAAAAATCTTTGTGGTACTATTTTGTACTTGTCTTTTGTAGTTTTTTTTTCCTCCTCCTAAATGTTATTTTTGTTTGAGTTTTAAAAATTGTTTTTAACAATTTTAATTTTTTTTTTTTTTAATTAAAAATCTGTGTAAGTTTCCTTCAGGAGCCATTCCTTCTTTCTACACAGAAGGGATTACAGAATGGTCTTGTTTTGTTTTTCCTCCAGAAGAGCACAGTATAGTAATTCTTTTGTGTTTGACACTTAAGGACTCTCTATTGGCACTGCAGAAGGGTGTGACCAGTTGATCCAGATTGGCACATTTTTTTGTGCAAATCAGCAAGATCTGGAATCTGTGCATTCTTCTTATGGGTATGCGTCACTGGCTCCTAAACTGCTTTCAGTTAGGAAAGACAGCAAATGAAGCTGTTGATCCAGCAAAGGCAGTAACAGCTACAGGACAGACACCTCTTGATGCAGGAGTTTCATAGTAAACATCACAAGACACACAGTTCAAACTGAAAGCTGTTGAAATAGGAGAGTGAGATTCCAGTGGGGCTGTCTTTTAGCAGGATTAGATGCCAACAGTAACTCAGTGACGTTCCTCTGCCTTTGATTAGAAAACCAGTGAGTGATCCGAGCATTAGCACTGGGAAGCAGGCAGGTTCGCCTGTGCTAATTCCAGAGCCCAGGCATGCATTTTGGTGCAGATTGCCCCTGTAGCATGATTCGGATGTATTGCAGCTCTGCAGTTCTTATGAATGGATTTTAGGGTTGTTTTTCCCGACAGAAATATCAAGCTATATAGTGACTTTTCTTACTTAGATGAATCTAATGAAGACAAAGGCCGAGGAGGATGCTTTCATTGCAGTTGTGGCAAATTCTGACAGCAAAGCTCAGATTTCCAAAGTGAAAAGCTGTAAGAAGGTCTGTTTGAAGAGGATTATATTTTATTTCTTGGGAAATGTAGAAACAAATGAACACAAACTACTTAATACTGGTCCAAACAGCACATTAGGTATTTCCCCTTTTAACCTGCAGTGTGTTGTGGTTTAAAATGGTAACAGGTGAAAAGTTTGTGATTCCTGTTGATTTTAATCTTCAGTTACTCTTCTAATAGCATCTCTCACGCACTTACTGAAAACTGCAATGATATTCCTAAATTGTGGGTCTTGAAAAGGTTTGCATTACAGCAGGGTAATCGAAGATATTGCTAAAATTTGGTACCTAATGCTGTTTGACTGGCCACGATGTGTCTCTGCAGTACCTAAAATGCCCAGATTTTATCTTGTCATCTCATCCTCATCTAAGGGTAATAACTCCTTTGCCCTGAGACTTTGGGAGCACTCATAACGTGTTCTGGATTCTGGGGTTTATCTTTGCTGCTCTTGTTGAAGTTGGTCTCATGAATCTTATTGCATGTACAGGCAGTGCATTTTCTAGAGATTCCTTTGCTGTAACATAAAACTGTAAGAATGAAATGAAAGAGTTGCAGTAACCGTTTTTTCTCCCTTAAAGACTGTTTTCTATTTTCCACTTTTGTATATTTTCTACTCTCCCATAAGTTTTGTATTAGCATCCAGAGTTTTATATTAATGTTAAGGCCTTTTTTGCCTGAAGAATTAATTGTGCTTGCTCATGCAGTATTTTCCCAGCTTTTTATGACACTATATGTTTATTTGGATACCCTGAAGTGGCATTAAGAAAAGGGTAAAGAGGGACAGATCGCTTTCAAGCAATCAATATTGTATTTATAAATGTAACTTAAATTGCCTTTTGTTGATGTTAACATGCTCATTGCACCTTTTTTTCCCTGTAGCTTTGAGAGGATTGGAGTGGCATTCTGAGGTCATTTAAAATCATGACAAGCTCAGTTGGACAGAAAAAAGTCTCTTCAAGACAAAGGAAGTGTGGGTTTTGTAGATCTAATAAAGATAATGAATGTGGACAATTATTGATGTCAGAAAACCAGAAGGTGGCAGCACATCACAAATGTATGGTAAGTTACCATAGGAAAAAGAAAAGGAATGTAGGGAGCTAGTAAAAGACTACAAACCAGTGACAGATTCACCCAGCTCTGGCTTTGGCACAAAGGATTAATCACTGTAATTTGAAATATTGGTGGGTTTTATAGATGTGAATGTTCTGTATCACTTATAACCTTAAAACTTAAAAAAAAATGGGTTTTGTTTTATAATTTTAGCTGTTCTCATCTGCATTGGTATCTTCACACACTGATAATGAGAGTCTTGGTGGATTCTCTATTGAAGATATTCAGAAAGAAATCAAGAGAGGCACTAAACTGGTAAGTCTCTATTTTTGGCTCTTGAAATGGAAGACAGTATTTTCTTACCTTCTATATAGTTTACCATGAAGTTGTTCAGTGTATTATAAATATATATTTTTTTTTTTTTTTTCTGGTTTGTTCTTCTTTTATTTTTTAAGTGCTCCCTTTGTCTGTGTTCTGAGGCAGTAGACAACTTTTAGAAGATGTTGAAGTAAAATTGGTCTCTGATCTATGAACAGAAACCCACAGTAGATACGATTATACTGACATTGAAATGAAATTTCAGTGTCTGTTAACCAACCCCTGAAGTATCTTTAGGCAAGGATAAAAAGTAGCTTGTTAATTCCAGTCAAGTTCTGGTCTCATGTAAATATCTCATTATAAGAATTGTAGCTTAATTATGGAATTATTAAATAATAAATCCAGAATTCTTATTTTTACGGTCACTTTTTTCCTCATTGGCAAATGTAGATGGAGCAGATAAGCCAACTTGCAAACTCGTTTACAGACTATGCCCGTTTTTAATGAGCTGTGTATGAACAACAGCTTTCCTAAATTTATGTTGCTAATCTATTGAATCTATTTTCTGTTAGATTCCAGAAAGAAGCCCACATTCTAGGGACCTCCTGAGGGTATTATTGTGCCTTTATCAGTATTAGGTTTTGCTGCCAAAATCTGCGTTTAGCTACCAAAGTTAAAGTACTTTCAGTGCTTCCTTTTATATGATTTAATAGATGATTCCGTGAGTACAGATGAACATAGATATGTGGGTACAACAGTGGTTACAGCTCCACATGAGAACTGAGCAGCAATGACTTGTTTTAATTCCCAGGAAGCTGATTCATTATTTTTTATTATTATTCTTTTTCTTTTTTTTTTTTTTTATTTTATTTAGACCCAGTTGTTTTCCATTTGGCTTTTTAAAAATACTTTTAACAAATAATCAATTCGCTCCTCACATTAAACATTTTCAGCTTAGTTATTTAAAGCACTCTAATGCATTCACCAGGTCTTGGACTACAAAGAGTAGTCCCAAGTATTACTGTAGAACTGCAATTGTATAATAATAGTCTAATATTTCATCCAGTGTTTCAATTGAATCCTTTCCAACACAGGGAACTTTAATTGCTCTGTTTAGCTGAAGCATAAAGAAATAACTCTTCACAAGTCATTTATGTTGTGGTTGGGAATTTTCAAAGAACATGGTATTAAATGGAGCTAGAGATTGGAAAGAAACTTTTTTGATTCTTGGGTCTCTTAAATGTTTGGGGTTTTTTTAAGGTTCTTTTTATGTCAGTGGTGGTTTCTGTCTTTCTGTTTCTGAATCTCTTAATGTTCCTTCAGTGATGCAAGGAACAGCATCGTGGATGGATGTATTCTTGCAGCTCAATAGCTGTACATATCAGGCACTTTGTTCAGCTTTCTGCAGAAATCCTGGATCTGGTTAATCCACTAGATTCATAGTCCTGAGACGTTTCCTATGTGGAGAGAATTTACGAGACCATTTTAGATCCTAATTTAAGTGCTTTATCTCTGCCTGTAGCTGTCAGAGAACTACAGCTCTGAATCTCTCTCTGGAGGATTCTGTCTTTCTCCATTGACCTGTATGGGAAGCCTAAAGTGAAATGTTTATCGTTAGCCCAGCTACCCCTTCTCAGGTCTGCTTTCAGTTCCAGCCTGTTCCTTTATGTGGGAGCATACTGAGCAAAAATATCTCAGCGTGGTGCACTGGGTTAAGTAATTACATGGGTAGCTTGGACTAAATTTGTCGTCTGACAGACTTTACGTAGTTGCCTTCCTTCAGGAGGTGCTGCTGCTGACCAGGTATATGCTGGAAACAGGCTTGGTCCTTACTGAAGTGACAGTGACTGACGTGTAGAACCTTTCTGATGGTAATATGTTTCTGTCTGAGACAAGTTTGTGGGTTTAAACCTTACTAGGCAAGTCATAAAAACTGAAGGACTTGTCTAAATATTTGGCAGTACAAGGCACTTGTGATGTTTTTGCTGTTAGCTGTGCATGGGAGGGCTTTTTTCAAAGGGCTTACTTATTTTGCAGCTTGTCAGACTTCACATGTATCTGTTCTAACTTGGGAACGAATTAATCTCCTGACAGTGACCATTTGGGCAGCAGGACTTGTACCAAGGGGATAAATATTTTATACCTGCCAGGAAACATAGAGCAATAAATCAATATAAAAATACCTGTGGTCTGTTTTGGTCATGCATCACGGTATTCATAAAGAGAAAGTTTTCTTTTAGTCATTTCTGGCCTTCAGAATACTCGAGTACTGACTAAAATGGATTGGATGGATATATTTTAAACCTAGGCTTTTATAAAGAGCTTTGATCAGCCGTGATTTTATTTTAAGCCATAATGCATAAAAAATGTATGAGGTGAAATACTCATACAAATTAGATAAGAACTGCGGAATGGTATGTAGCTAGACCATTTCTGAGCTTGCAGAGGAGTAAATGGAGATGATCCAAGGCTTTGACATTTTTACTGTTCAGTTTAACTTTGTTAAAATTGAAAACCAGGATGGTGATACATAACACTGATGTGGTGCTTATTTGGCATATTTGGGACTAACAAGAACTTGACTAAGCCAGTGCTGTGGACAGGAAGTATATTCCTCAAAGTCAGGGTTAGGAGCGTGGTAGTTCATGTATCCTAAGCAATGATGAGTCTACTACAACAAGAACTAGTTAGCAGGAAAGAAGAGTAAAGCAGCAGGCTCCCACTTAACCTCTTCTGTAATACAAATCTAAAGAACAAAATTTAGTATAATTGAAATAAGTTCATTGTATTTAACAACTACTTCACTAAATTCAGGGTTGGAAATGACTTAAGGTGTGGGGGAAAAAAAAGAGGTAAACTCAACTGCTGAGACTAAGGTAGGTTTGCAGGTTATCAGCATTTCTGACTGCAGGATTCATTGCAAATGGGTGTCTTTTTAATTCCTTCTACCTTCATAATGTAATTCAGAATTCAACAGGTACAGTTTGAGTTTTAACTTCTGAAACGGTTGGTGCAAGCAGCTTGTCCTTGGGAGGGGGTTATTTAGTTGAGCAGCTGTGTTGCTTTCATCACATCATCAAATACATTCCATGAAAGTAAATTACTTATTTTCTTCACTTAATTGATAATCTGATGGTTAATGATTAATCTGATAATGTAATATGATGGTTCTGGCACTGTTGCAGAATTGCAGCAAATTTCTCCTTGATTAAAACCACCCGAGAGCTGGAAGAGCAACACCAAGTGCATAACTTCATCTATTTTGTCACCAGGGGTGATTACTATGTTGGTTTTGGACTCAGAAATAGTAAGCCAACAGTTACATGAATTGTGCTTTCTTGTCCTTTACAGATGTGCTCTTTATGCCATTGTCCTGGAGCGACCATTGGCTGTGATGTGAAAACATGTCACAAGACATATCACTACTACTGTGCTTTGCATGATAAAGCTCAGATAAGAGAGAAACCCTCACAAGGCATTTACATGTAACTATTATTTATTTGTTGTCTTTACTTTTGTATTTATATTTCACATTCTTTGTTTAAAAAAAAAGAAACAAAACCCCAAAACCCCACTTTGGAATCTAAACAAAACTGTTTTAAAGTTTTCTAATGATGATTGTGACAATCAAACTAGTGATGTGCCAGAAAAGCGTATTTTCACTGCAAGATTTGTCTTGGAAGTGGGAGAAAAAAAAATGTACTGACATTTAAATTTAAAAGATGAGTAAATAATATGTGAATCGTGACTGACTTGACAGTTTTCAACTACTTTGTTTATAGGATTTTATGTCGAAAACACAAGAAAACTACGCATAACTCTGAAGGTAAAATTATTCAATATAAATTTTTCCCATTGTAGAAAGATACTTGGTTACATTGAGTTTTTCTGGAGAATAGAAATGTTTTCAGGAAAAATCAGAACTACATTTTTTTTTCAGGAACAGTGAGTTTGGAAGCCCATCTGATTGCTGTATTTTCTCTAAACATTATTGGTTGAGGTAGAGAAAAACCTCCCAAACCATCGATTTTAGGATGTTCAAAAGATTTGATGTGCTGTCAAAACAAATTTGGGGTAAAAGTAATGCATTCCTTTCTGGGGAAAAAGCTGGCTTGTATTTGTAGTTAAATATACATGATACTAACATCTAAAATATATTGTCAGGTTACAGCTGATTTTTGCTGTTGTTAATATTTCTAAATATTCACTTTAAACTATTAAATTAACTCTTCAAATAAGAAGGACCCAATAGTAAATGCAAAGGTTTGTGATCAGATCACTCACAAATATAGTTCTGAGTCATTCTGATGAAGAAAAAAAGCTGTGAATACATTCATAAAGCCTGTGCCTCTTTGCAGAGGAGAGTAGTGAAATGCATGAGGAGTGGTATGCCACAAACAGAGATAAATCATGTGGTCCCTTACAATTCCAAACTAGTTGTGCTGTTGGGTATTTATGCAGGGATTTTTGCTTTTCCCATTTTTCCACTGTATCTGAATTGGGTAAGCAAACAGATGTTAATTTACTTTTTGCATTGCTTTCAATTGAAAAGTCATCAGATTTAATTAACATGTATGTGACTTTATTTAGTGAAGATCACATTCATAAATACTTCAGTCTCTCTCTGCCAAATGTATTTTTAAGTTTTAATGCACTAGTTTTATGCTCTGGGTAGCAGATGTATTAATGGTAAGGTTTGGATGTTAGGTCAGTGTTCAGAATGATGTTGAAGCCAGTAGAAAATCCCACCTGAACACTTTATTTTTTGACTATTTACATAATTATTGCTGTGCACTTTGTCTAAAACACTCTTTGATTTTGCTATTGCTAGGTTTAAATAAGAAAAGCAGTATGCATGTTATATTGGTTCTATAGAGAGACAGGGCCACATTCTCCTGTAGTTGGCACTTTGGTTTGGGGTTAGAAACAAAATATCAAAGGCATTTGAGTCCAGAGAGAGATTTACCACTTTAACTGGTATTTCAACAAAATCTTTTATATTACCTCCCAAATGGCTCCATGTTGGACATCTACCAAAAAATGCCTCCAATTCTGTATGGAGCCCAATGCCAGTGGAAGAGTTCTCTGCTTGGAATTCCTTGCAGGATCTGAACTTGTGCTTTCTGCAAGAGTTTCCAGAAAACCATGATCTCCAGTGCTACAACGTCATTCTCTAACAGCAAAGGCTTTTCAGTTCGATATGGATATATTTCTGAAGATGGGGGAAAAAATTGCTAGAGGCATCCTGGCTGTTTTCTTGATGATGGCAGTTTATGAAAGCATTAAACTAGATTCATCCAAAGAGATTCTTAGATTGAGGGTTAGAGAAAGGAATAAATACCATCATTCAGAAAAACCAAGGCCAGATAACCCAATAGTAACTTATTTAGCATTGAACTTTGCACATATTTTTGGTTTAAGATATTTAATTCTAGAAATATGTGTAGCTGGAACTCACTCCTTTGTTTTCTGGGATTTTTTTATGTAATATTTGACTGGAATTTCACCCAGTATGTTCTAAATGTTCCAAAGAGCATGTTCTCTTCTCATTCTCAAAGAGTATGTATCAGTCCACATAGTTTAGGGTACTGTACCCATAGGATATAATTACTTACAGTTAGGGGTTTGATAATGCCAAAACTCAGGTCTCTTTTGTGATAGACCTCCTTTAAATTAAAGAATGTAAAAGTACATATTGCAGCTGTCTTATGGCAATGACTTACAGCATTGTATAGCAACGGTATTTTGCTCCATTGAAAACTTAATTGCCTTTAGAAATAAACCGTGCGGTTTTCAGAGTTGATGAAGGGATTTTGTTTCTTAGTACTTAAATGCTGAAATCTCTTCACTGGAATGGTAACCAGATGGGGAGGTTAAGCTTCGCAGATGTATTTTGTGGGTTCATTTGTCAAGGAAAATGTTCATAGCAAAGAGGAATTTCAGTGTGAAAGAGTGGTGGAGTGTAAAACCAGAAAGGTTTTACTCTCTTGGTTTTGTTTCATCCTTGCTCTCAGTAGTGTTTTCATAACAGAATAGTTAAAGCTCATCTGTGGTTATGTCACTCAGTGTAGGTGCACAGAAGCACTGGAATTACCAGTCCTTTTAATGGAAGCTTATTGCTTCTGCTCTGGGATGTAGTTTGTTTCTGCTTTTCCCTTGGTCAACGTAGGACATCTTGGGGATGGGGGGGATGTGTGTTTATGCTTTGTTCTCTGTATCCAGATTTAATTGTTGCAGTCCAAATACTTTTATTATATCGCTTCTGCTAGTGAATGTTCAAAGAGTTTTGGTTAGGGTTCAGTTTGATGCAGTCCAGAAGAGCTCATTTTCTGTAGGCTGTACTGTTCCTAATAGTGAGATGTGGGGTTTGTTTCCCTTCCCTAGGAAATAGGTGCTTTGGGGGGAATAGTTGTTCAAGTCTAAAATCTGGCTGATGTTGCTTTTCTTAGAAGTTCTAGTGTAAAAAGAATATCTAGTGTCCATTTAATAATGATTCAAGACAGTTTCTTGGGGCTGCACAGAAATGTGGTTGAAGGACCTGTGTTAGAATTAAAATTGCCCAATCAGAACCTAATAAAAAGGACCTCTGAGATGTTATTTATTGCTGTCATGAAGTTCAAGTGGCACAAGAATTCATCAGACTGAGTATCTCTACTCATCAAGTTAAAATTAATGAGCAATGGGAGTTCATTTTCCTTTCATTGACAGGAGTTGCTGAACTACCTCCTGTTTTTTCTTTGAATAGGAAGATACGAAACACGGCAGGAAAGTATTGTGCTCTTAAATTCATTATTTAATTCTCATTTATCTCTATGGCCTAGCCTTCGGATGATGTAGAATGGGAAAACTGTATTTCTTCTATATTTCCTTTGTGTGTGTGTGTATATATTTCAGAGTGATTCTTCTATGCTGTGTTCCCAGTAACTGGAAGAAGGACAAAGTGAGGTGCTCTCACACTTTGGACTAGGCTAGGAGGTCAACAGATATGCAGCCACCTTCTCAGACCAAGTTACTGAAAGCTTCATGTCTAGATTTGTGTCTTTCTGGTTACAAACCTAACAAAACAATCTGACCTGAACTCCAAGAATAGTTTAATTTGCAATTCAGGCAAGCCATCCAAGTTTTCAGTACCTAACAGGTTACAGGGATTGGTGCCAGTTCTTTCAGACTATCACAGCTAACTGTTAGTTGAATTACTGTTCAGTTTGATACAATTGCATTTATTCTCTTTGAAGAATAGAGTATTGTTGAACCGAGGCTTTGGAACTGTTGGAATTTATTCCACTGTACTGGAAATAGTTGTTGAAGAGTTGGAAATCTGGTATGTTTGTTCCCTGCAGGTGGGGCTGCACTGGCCCCTGTGGTGAATTTAGAACAAGTTCAGCTGATCATCAATAGTTTAATATAAACTAAGATAAGGATGTGCTTTCATTCTGCTGTGACATAGCAGTAAAATAAAAATAATGAAGAAAGCAATGTAACTATCTATTGTGAACATTAAAACAGATGCTTGGGAACTGCGGGGTCAGAAAATAAAGTGTCCATAATAATTCCTACTGTAGCTGTCCTCAGCGCCTCAGGGAACTATGTTTCCACAGTGGAAATAAGGACATTCCCTGTCTCAGCATCCTTTTCATGTTATTCTAAAGATTAAATGTAAAATCTATGCTTCATATACTACCGTGCAAGTTGGGTCAGGGTAATATTTCTCTGTGAGACCTATACCAACCCAAGTACTTTTTCAAAGCACTGTAAGCCAGAGGCTGGCAGGAAAAACGGTTGCAATCTTTTGGCTTTATAGTTAGGTAACATCCTGATTCATCTGTGGATCTTTTAATCAGGGTTGGTTCATAGTTGCCTTTTCTGTATCACTGTTCACAACATAAATCGCCTAACGTTGTATGCATTAGTGCAGTCCGGTATAAAAGTGTCTTGTGATGTTGCAGTTGGGTGTCATTTCAGGTCTGCTGGTGGATGGGAACAAATCCTTCCTCAGCTCTGCTAACTCAGCCTTCTTGTTGCCTGTCTTCTGGACAACACTGCTCTGAACATGGCATCAAATGTACACAGTGGGTCCAGGCAGTCAGTTAGCCTCATCCTATGCAGTCTGTTCCAGACTAAAGTTTGAAACTGAAACAGGGGAAGTTTAGATTGGATATAAGAAGGAAATTCTTTCCTGTGAGGGTGGTGAGGCACTGGAATGGGTTGCCCAGGGAGGTTGTGAATGCTCCATCCCTGGCAGTGTTCAAGACCAGGTTGGACGAGGCCTTGGGTGACATGGTTTAGTGTGAGGTGTCCCTGCCCATAGCAGGGGGGTTGGAACTGGATGATCTTAAGGCCCTTTCCAACCCAGACCATTCTATGATTCTGTGATTTTGCAGAAGCACCACAATGGTGTTTCCTTACAGGAAATCCCACAGCTAATGGAAAAGATGTAAAAGTAATGTGGTGAATGGTTTGTCCTGTTTGAGGAGCTGCCCTGTGGTGTTTACATTGTAATTCTCCTTCCTACCTAAGCAAGGGATAAGACAAATAGAAACTTGATCAGCCAACTTCTGCTTAACAGGTTTCTCATACCAGTTGTCACAAGCTTTCTGGTTATGCAGATAGCGTATTGTCTTTGCCAACCACTAGTTGCTTGAAAAAGCATTTCAATTGTATGCTTGTGGAAGATTATTTTATTAATTTTTGATGTTAAATATACTTAATTAAAGAAATAATCTCAAGTACTTCATAACATGGCTACTATTCAATCAAAACCACCTTATGGACAAGAGTCATCAGTTCCTGTATCTGGTACTTCGTGTGGGGCTGAAGGGGTAATGTAATGTTTTTTCCTCTTCACTCTTTATTTTCTCCATTTTAAATATGTTTTGGGTAACTTGGACTTTTTCCATTAAAAAGAAACAAAACAAAAAAAAAAAACCCCAAACAACCTAAAAATGATATTCAGTGCTCTTGATTATTCAGTTCACATCATTTGCTGATAAAAGCTGCTATTATTTCATGATGGGTTTACCCGATAATGAATTTGCTTGCAAGGGGGTTTATGCAAATCTTTGGTTCTTATTAATGCTTATAGATGCATTCATGTTTTTATTAATGACTACTGGGACAATAAGGTTTTGCCAGGTTTTTTGACGTTTCTTTTCAATTGGAAGTGATTATGTTGCCACATATGGTTCATTGGGTTGCAGCCCTGTTTCAAGCATATCTTTCTTTAACATGCTCAAGAGCTTTTTTCTTTCTCTGGTTTGTTCCTCTTCTAAAAATCCAGTGAGGTTGCTTTTGTTCTCTGTCATTTTTAGCCTGTTTTATCCCAAATGCACTCTAAACTTAAAATACACATGTGTGATTGCAGATTTACATAACAGCTTGTCTGAGCCACTTCCTTGTGTGGCATTTTGGCTTCTTTTTATGTCAAGTCCTACTTGCAGATCTATTTTGCCAGTCAGTTGTGTTTGTTATCTTCCTCGTACAGACTTGGCCCCTTTGCTTCTGGCTCACTTAGTCTATTGTTTAAGGTAGTGTAGGAGGTGGATACTGAGAGCAGTATTAGCCTTTATTGTATACATCCTCTTTTTATTTGCTCTTTAACAACCTTTAAATCACTTCATTCTTTTATTACTTTGTTTTAGCCTAGCTTTTGGAAAAGGTTGATTCCCTGCATATTTTGAGCTGATGCAATATAGAATAGATGGGTGGTATCTCAACCACTTTCCTGCCAAGCCTTATTATAAGCAGCAAAACATCTTGATCCTTTTTCCTTCTAGTCATGATCAAGGAGAATCTTTAGGTTTCTCACTGAAGCTGAGTCTCCCCATTAACAGTTTACGTGATACAGCATTTTATGGCACTTTGTACTGCTCGTGGATTTCTAACATGCACATTTGGGGCTCACTGCTGCTCATCTCTTCACTCATTTGAATTTACAGTATCATGGTCTTAGGTGCTTTTTAAAACATAGGATGTTTCCTCTTGATTTCTATCCCCACCCCTCCTCCTCAGACCATATTGCATATCAAGCTTGGTGTTCCAGATATAGCACTTAGGGACTTGTGAAGGAAGCTCGTAAGATACCTCCTTTGAAGACTTTAAATAAAGTTAGGTTGAGATTATTGTGATGCTTTTAACAATCAATGCAGTGATGGGCTATGGGATGGGGGGCATTTGAAGGGCATCTAGGGGATCTCAGGGGATTCAGAGAAAGGGTGATATCCATGAGAAAACATCATCTGGTCAGGGAGGTGTTGAACAACTTTCTGTGTTTTCCTTAGTTCAAGCTGACATGAGAAGTTGGAAACACCCAAGCATCAGATGCCAGGGAAACAGGGTAAGCTGGCAGTGGGCTTGAGGGGAGGGATAGGGCACAATCCAATCTGTGTATTGAACAGTAAAGACCATCCAAGGCAGGTGTATTTCAAAGCTAGTTACAATCTCTTCCTGTACTGTTACTGTAGTTCATAGTGCTGTTAAAAATGAGAGGTACTTGAATGGCCTGAGGTACCAGTTTTGAAGACAGATGTAGCAGAGCAGATACTCCCATCTCGGTGCTGTTAATGTGTAGGTCCATGTCACTGTTATTAGGAGACCTAAATCTGAAGGAGCTGTGTTTGAATGAAGGGGTCAGGTAGCATCTTGATTTCAGTGAACTCTGAACTTCGTGTGGAACTGTTAGTTTGGAGCACAGAGAAGGAAGGGGTTCTGCTGTGAGGAAAGCCCTGCAATGGTGATGGGGTTTTTTATCTTCCACTGAAACAGTCTTTTCAAAATAGAGCATTTTTACCTTTCAAATCTTAAATATTCTAGGAATTGTAGACTAAAAAAGCACTTGGTTCTGTAAGGGGGCTGTGACATCTCGCATAAAACGTGGGGTTTCATAATGTGTGCTTGGGTTTTAGCAATTAGAATTCACTCCAGTTTTGAAAGCATGGCTGTGGACAGTTCAGGATGTGCTTTAATGGTATTAGCAAATAAGGGTGGACTAAGAGGTGGAAAGCATTATGGTTGACAGGATTGATAAGGAGCTTTGCAAAACATAAGGAATGTTGATGAATGGACTGCATTTCGCTTCATCAAATACAGTAGGGAAATCCATGGAATGCTTTTGGCAGGAACAGTTTGAACTTCCTACTGATGTTGTTTAAGGGGTCACGAATTCAATAGTCACATTTTTGTAAGGCTTTTCCTCTTGTTTACTACAACCATCTGATTTCTGCCAATGTAAAAGCAGAGACCAAAGATCCACAAATTTGGTTCAATACATTGATGAGGGACGAGATAATTCTTTCCTTTGAAGGAGGTTGTTAAAACCTTGCTGTATGCAGGCTGAGCAGTGCGATACCCAAATTGCATCATCTTGCTTGGGATATTCAGCAGCTAATGATAAATGAAAAGTAATGTTAGTAAATTCTGAGAAGGAAAAGGGAAAATGCATTGTTTCAGTAGATAATCCACGTTGTCATGGATTCTGTTTTTTCAGAGTGAAATAAATGGTACTTTTATCATCTAATTAGAAAATAATAGTATATATTAAAGCATGGGAATGTTGTAATAGATGGACTGATGTATTTCAGTAGAAACGTGGGAATATCTGTATGTAGCTGAATGATCTGTCATTGTAGGACAGAAAAGTTTGCAGATTTCTATTCACTTCTTTCTCAATTTTTGCCTCTTTCTGCCTGTACAGCAGAGTAAAGCTCTGGGGGAATGAATGCGTTGTGATGCTGCTGGGTTAGTTTTCTGTCCTTCATTAATGAATGTGCAACAAGCTACACCTTTCTTGGGGATTAGCAAAAGATACAATAGACTGAGTTTAATCGGATACACTCCTATGCAAGGCCTTGGGCAGTAGTAATCTACTCCAAGTTGATGGCTGTGGAGTATGTTCAAGTCTTTGACTTCAAACTTTAATGCAGTTGAGTCAGGAAATAGGAATTTGATTTGATTTTTGTGCAATAATAGATAAGAAAGACGAGGTCTGGAGAGCGGCATTTAGTCTCAAAATAGGACGTCTTGTCTGGATCCTGAAGCCTTGTACAATGGTGATAAGTGCCGTAGCAATGCTGTAATAACAATAACAATACAGTTAAGTGGTCCATTAATGTATAAAGAAGATGTTCCAAATCCTCTGATTAGGAATTCCTTTTGTTTGGGGACTCATAACTGATGTTTGTGGTTTGGATTTTGAGAAGTGAGTTCTTTAGTGGGGGGGGTGGATGCTTCTGTGAACCAGCCTGCTGAAATAGATTGCAGTTTGAGCAGGAGTGGGGGTTATGTACTGAAAGAATAAGCATCCTCCCATGAAAAGCTGATGATCAGGAAAGCTGTTAAGAACTGAATAGAGCTGGTTATTTCCTGTTAGATGTAACTTAAGCTTGCTTCCAGTATGATGTAGTTAAGTTTGCAGAATTGATCTGTATTAACTGTAGAGCTTTGACGTATCAAAGGGGGGAGTCTCTCAGAATACTGGGCTATGCTGGACCTGCTTGAGTGAGTATAGAGGAGGCCATGGAGATGCTGCGAGGGCTGGAGCAGCTCTGCTCTGGAGCCAGGCTGAGAGAGCTGGGCTGGGGCAGCCTGGAGAAGAGAAGGCTCCTGAAGGGGAGACCTTAGAGCAGCTCCAGTGCCTAAAGGGGCTGCAGGAAACCTGGAGAGGGGCTTGGGACAAGGGCCTGTAGGGACAGTGCAAGGGGAATGGCTTGAACCTGCCCGAGGGGAGACTGAGCTGAGCTCTTAGGCAGAAGCTCTTCCCTGTGAGGGTGCTGAGGCACTGGCACAGGGTGCCCAGAGAAGCTGTGGCTGCCCCATCCCTGGCAGTGCTCAAGGCCAGGTTGAACAGAGGGGCTTGGAGCAAGCTGCTCCAGTGGAAGGGGTCCCTGCCCTGGCAGGGGTTGGAACTGGAGGAGCTTTCAGGTCCCTTCCAACCCAAACCAGGCTGGGGTTCTGTGATGCAGCAGCTGAGGTGACATTTTCAAAGGCACACACTTTGGTGTGTCTGTATTAAAAATATCCATTCTTACATTCTTAATGGTCTGTAAATCTTTTATCCGGAATACTGTCAGTGTGGGTGGTTTTCTGTAAGCTCGTAGCTGCTTTTAGCTGTTGATGTAAAAATACACTGTATTAAAATGAAATCTGGGTTTTGTTTCATGGAGACAAAATACATTTCAGTATTAAAACTTGATGTTAATTTTACAGTCAAAATGGGTGAATTTTATCTTAAGTCAAACGGCATCATTTAATATAAAGCAAGGAGAGAGGTATTATTTGGATACACTGGCACAACATCAAGGGCAATTTACACTGGAGTTATGCATCTTAAATTAAAAGCTTATTTCATGGTTGAAAACATTTTCTGATTTCAGTGTAGTTTAAATGCATCTTATTTTCAGTGGAGGTGAATAGATGTATCTGAGGGCAGGTTTGGGGTCTGAAAGCAGAGATTCTATGAAATGCTAAACCTTCATATGTTATAAAGGTGCAAAGCTGTGTGATCTATATAAAGAAGTAAATGTTTTCAGGATCTGCAGTTGCATGTTTGTCAGAATTGGGGGAAAGCTGCTGGTTTTATATCTGGTTAAAATACAAGAAATGCAGGTTCTGTCTCGTTTGTTTGTTGGTTTGGTTTTGCATAAGATCTTTTAGAATCTTATTTGATGATGTTTTCTGACTTCTAAAGCAGATTTAGAAGAAAGTATCAATGAACACGAGTTGGAGCCTTCACCTCCCAAAGGAAAAAGGAGGGGCCGTAAGGGAAAGCCAAGAAAAACAAACTTAAAAGGGCAATCAGAAGACACTAGATCTACGTCCTCACATGGCACAGATGAAATAGAAAGCAGTTCCTATGTAAGCAGTAAATATGCTAACCTTCTTAGAAGACAGAATTGCGTGTTTCTTCGCTGCAAATACGGTTTTTCTTAAAGCTTGCATTTGTCTGAGCCTCCAGCTGGTGGCCACAGGCTTTTAAAATGAAACCTGGTTTGTAACCCAGCAGTATATTTTAGTAAAATGTTTTTCTTTCAGAGAGACAGGTCTCCCCACAGAAGCAGCCCCAGTGATACAAAACCTAAATGTGGATTCTGTCATGCAGGTGAAGAAGAAAATGAAGCTAGAGGAAAGCTTCATATATTTAATGCCAAAAAGGCAGCAGCACACTATAAGTGCATGGTGAGTAACAGCGTTGTTGTGAACCAGTCTATCACGTGAATTCTGTCTGAATTGCTGTTTTACATTTTAATACAGTACCCTCACATGTAATTATGCATGAGGATTGTCTGTGCTGATGATCTCTTTAAGCACTGAAATGTTGCAAAGTGAGCAATTCATTTATTTTCACTGTGGGCAGTATGGATAAAAGTTGGCTACGTGCTAAGAGATGGAATTAGCTCAGGGAGATGCTTTAGCTTATTGAAAATGCTCCCTTAACATCTAAATGCATACACAGTATTTACAAAGGAAATCAGAAAACAGTTTCAACTAGAAGAATCCATTGCAAAAATAAAACCCCTTTACTCCACAGGCATTCAGGCAAAATTTGGGAAGAATCCATGAATTTCATTAATTTACTGACCAGTGGATTCAGAAGTGGGACATGGAAGTTCTAGAAAACCCTCCTTGCCTTTACATGATCATATTTCGAGAACAGTCAGCCTGAAAAGTTTCTGCTGATTTCCATAAGCATGAGCAGATATTGCTAGTCCTATGAATGAGGCAGGCCTTTGAGTAACAAACCTCAGTGGTCCCTGTTGCACCTCAAAATGAACAAATAGTCCAGGCAATCTGTGGAGTATTAATTGTCCTCCTATACTTGAAGCTGCCAGCAGCCTTGTGTCTTCAAGTGTTCTTCACTACCTTGTGTACCTGAGCTTCAGTTTTAAGACAGTTTAAACTGAATATGCAAGGGTGATGTTAGTAGGGATGGTACTTCTGTGCTCTGTTGTCAGCCCTCAGGACTTTTCAGGTATGTTGGCATCAGCTCTGCCATCAAGCTGAATTATAACTATGTCACAGGGAAGGAAATGGAATATTCCCAAAAAATTGAATCATGTGATTGATAATATTGCCCATTTATTACTCTGTGTTTTCAGCATGTCATTATTTTTTGTCTACTTCTTTGTCTTTTAAAATACATTTCTCCAAGGCAACAGTTAAAGCAGACGAGTAGGTACCAGGAGGAATACTCATCCTACTCATTAATCAGCATGGCTTTTTCCCTAGTTTGTTGGTAAACACATGCTGTCTGAAACCACAGAAGGGATGTTCAGTACTCTGTTACTCCAGTACATAGGAATCACACTGGTGGCCTGAAGTGATTTTTGACTTGCTTGTTTTACAGTTGTTCTCTTCTGGCACTGTCCAGCTAACAACAACTTCAAGGGCAGAGTTTGGTGATTTTGATATCAAAACTGTACTTCAGGAAATCAAAAGAGGAAAAAGAATGGTATGTACCTGTAGGATGGGGTTCTACTAAGGTGTATATGGCTTTGCCTCCTGCCTTTTGTGAAACAGTCTTTTCCGTCTGTTTTTAAATGCAAAATCCAAATGTATTGTTAATGTCACGACAGGTAACCATGTAGGCATCACCTTAAAAATTAGTGGTGGTTTGGCATATGGGATTTAGGGTTCTTTATGACAATGTACATAATAAATGACTAGTAGTCTTTCTGTAATCATAGGATAGCAGCTTTGGATCCTGTGTTTCTAACAGCACAGTGTCAAATTACATATAAACCTGGAGAATATGTTCTTGCAGTGATGTGTTTCCAACTGTTTTGATGTTTCAATACGAAAATGTATTAAGGCCTCGGGGGTGAGGACGTTGGTAAAATGTCACACTGTATTTTATTAACATTCAGGATGCTTCTAAAGTGATAAGAAATAAAGGGGAAGGGAACAGCCCCTAACAATATTGTTCCTTGGAAAAAAAAAATTGAAGATTCCCCATATATTAAGACACTAACTTCAAAACCTATAGAATGATCCTGGAAGTGCCATAATACATGCAATTTTCAATGCAGTGGGCAATTAAATCCTAGTGTTTGGGGTTTAATAGGTTAGTGTTATATAATTTCTGTTTTCCTGTATCTTTGGTTAATTTTATATTGGAAAGATGATCTGCCAGAGAAACCACTCCGTTCCAAAACAGTAGTCATAAATATGAGGAACACTAAACTGAATACTAAGAGGTGAGAGACTAAAAGGCTGCCATTCTCTTCTTTCCCCTGCACAGAAATGCACACTTTGCAGCCAGCCTGGTGCTACTATTGGGTGTGAAATTAAAGCCTGCATAAAAACATACCATTACCACTGTGGAGTAGAAGACAAAGCTAAATACATTGAGAATATGTCACGAGGAATTTATAAGTAAGGACCTACGTCATTCTTGAATTCATATTGAAAGTAAAGCTGATTTTATGGCACATATTCTGCCTAATTTGGCTAGTTAAGTATATTATTAAAAAAAAAGTTTTCATATTAATTGGTATTTTTAAGTAATCGCTGACTTTGCAAAATACTCTGTTAACTTAAAATCTGTGTAGTAGTGTTGTCATATGAGAAAATGCATTTACTTGTATTGTATTTTCCTCTTTGGTTAATCTGTGATTTATCTTAAGGAAATTTCTGTAATGATTTTTCCACGTTGATATGTTTTATAGCTAATTTGGGGGGGGGGGTTTGGCTCTGAAGTGCTGGTGTCAGTGGAGTTGCCAGCGTGGCTTTGCCACAAGAGGGCATTCTCTGAGCAGTGCAGCAGCAGTTCTCCAAAACCAGCATCACCAAAGTTCTGTTGCCTGGTTTTCGAGCTTGTTTTCTTTCTCAGTTTAACTGATGCCTGGCTGAAAACCATGAATGTGTTCAAAGAGTTAGTGACAGACTTGCAGCACGTCTCCAAATAACTTGAGAGGAAGGTTGGGTGTAGATACTTTCAGTCCAAGTCCTAACTGTTTCCTTTGTTGTACTAGACTCTATTGTAAAAACCATAGTGGAAATGATGAAAGAGATGAAGAGGATGAAGAAAGAGAAAGCAAAAGCCGTGGCAAATTAGGCACTGACCATAATGACATTCCTCAGCAGCAGCTCAATGGAAACTAGGTATGGAAGTTCCTCCTGACAGATGTTACCGAGACCGAAACGCAATATACATTTAATGTAGTTTATTGCAGTGAAATATTTAGTGTATGCAGAGAAGTACTTTTTATTGGCAGACTGTAGAAAACTGGGGAGGATTTGTTGTTTCTTTTAAATCCAGCTGACTTTGTAACAGTCTAAGCAGGGAGGCCCTCATTTCTATTGCTAAATCTAGCTGTAATGTCAGAGCTGCTGAATGCTTTTCTGTATGATTTTAAATTTACTATTGTTTTCATCGTTTTTTAAACAGGTTCAAGGGACAGAGTTATAGAACTGGGAATGGCTAAGACATCATAACTACTAATTCTTTTAAATTGTTTTCTAAACTCAGAAAAGGGTCAGTAACGTTTTGCTGCCCACCTCTGTTAGAAGTTTCATTGAACTGCCTGAAACGTTCATGTGTGTGAGCCTTCAGTAAGTGGCAGAGTTTTACATGTCAATATTATGTAGTTTGTAGTCTGCAGTGTCTGGAAAAAAAAAAAAGAAACACTATATAAATGATATGTAATATGTACAGTGTCAAAAGTTAAGGCAGACATTGAAATGAAGTAAGATCTATATTTCTGGACTGAATAAAAACCTTAAGATTCGGACTGTGTAAGTTGTTTAGTGGATTCATGCAACGAGGGAAGGTCTTAGCTTAGTTTAATGAACAACATGGACAAGCTCGTGGTGGCAACAAGCTGGTACGTTGTGAATTTTGCATTCTCTTCATACACAAGTTACAGAGGCTGTACATGGGAAAGCTGCTCTCTGTTTTTGCTTGCAAAGCACACAGTAGGAAAGGACTCAGTGTACACCAAATCACGCTTGAACATTTCAGGTTGTTCCTGTTGTGATTGCTCATTCCGCCCAGCATTGTTTGCGGGAGATTTACTTGAGCAGCTGTTGGTTCTGAGCTGTGAGCTTTAGAACTCATGCCAAAGGGCTGTAGTTCATTCTTTTCCCCAAGGACCCATCCTTTTCTGTGCCCCTGATTTACAAAGAACACTTCAGCAAGTGTGATTAAAACCTTACTCTACAAATGTTTGGACTCTGCAGCCCAATCTCTTTTACTTCAGAGAGTTACAACTCTTAACTCACTATGGAATTTAGCCACCGTATCTGACGTCCATACCTCAAGTGTTCTGTGGTGTGTGGAACACTTTATGTTTTGTCCAGAATATGCATAAAGGTCCCATATTCTGTAAGAAGAATGAGGAAACAACCTTTTTTTTTTTTTTTTGTTAGATTCGTATTTATTTTTTAATCTTATGACCACTATATGAGAAATTTTGCTTATCATCATTATTGTTTTAGTGATTATTTTTTCTCTTTCTGTCAAGTCAACAATCACATCATGGAATTCTACTTGCTAGAGTTTGATGTTCCTGTAGGGAATAATCAGATCTAGACTATACCAAACTTAACAGGTCAGTCCTGTGACTGCTGTCAAAACATCTTGTCATTTCTAATGGCTACTAGCTTCTTCAATTGGTCTGTTAAAGCACATGCTCAGACTTAAATAAAACCAAAAAGCTGAACCTAGTCCACATGTTTGTCTGTTGCTATCGCATCACCTTACTTGTTTGTTTAGGGGTTTGACTTGTTTCACTCTGAACTCCCAGTTGTTTCACTCTGAACTCCCAACAAAACTCCTGGATTTGAAGGAAGGAAACAAGCAAAAGACACTGATTTGACTATAAACTGCTACAGTTCTTCTGTGATTGGTATTGCAAAGCCAGTTCATTTGTAACACGAGTTTCTGTAGCATTTTTTTACTTGTATTTTTAAGAGATTTAACGTGTGTCATTTGTCTTCTTATGCATTCCCTTAATGTCTTGAGGGACTCAATGACTGTATATTGGAGTTTCTAACGTTTTACCTGTTAGAATTCAATCAATTCTGTTTGCTTTCCTGGAGAATAATGCCGTTTGGAAAGAACTCTTTGCTGTGTACAGAAAATACTCAGTTCCTGCTCTAAACATGATGCCATTGATCATTTTTCTTTTGTATTTGTAACTTTCACAATTAAAAGCGTGACTTGAATTGCAGTGACAGATCGATTATTGCCAGTGTCTATCGAGGTGTGCTGTTTCTCCTAGAACACGACCGTTTTTCAGCCACTCTGAACACTTCTAGAATGCAAAATGCCATCCTTCAATGTTGAAATTACTTCTAGATGCGTGCCTCAGACATGGCCCTCCCATGGTAAAAAGGCACTTTGTTTGCAGCTACTGTATTTTAACTGCGGTTGCATGGGGTAGATCTGCCAGCATACTGATTGTATTTGAGACTGAGCTCTAATTCATAGTGTGTCGGTTGCTTAGTGTGATATTCAGTCCAATCATTCATCTCGTAGGAAATAGATTACCCCATTCCATGCCTTGAAGAACCAGAGCAGCACTTTACCTTCGGGTAGCAGAGAAGTAAGTGGCTGGTTTACCTGTTACCTCTTTGTGCTGAGATGGCCTGTCTCAAACTGTCGTTAATTCATGGAAGCAAAGTCGAAAGCAAAACTCTTTCTTATGAGCCTCAAATGTGTCAGAACTGACTTCAACTCATGTATGCTGGGTAAAAGTGCCTTACAATGTACAAATTGTATTTATATGTTCCCAAGTAGCATCACCTGCTGGGGAGTAATTCTGTCGTGGAGTTAATATTTAGAAGAAATGTACCTCAGCAGTGTATTTACTGTACATCTCTTACATCCTTAATTGTAGTTTTCAAAAGCATGACAATGTATGATAGTATCCAACATTTACATCGTTTTTTTTAAGACAAAATACTGCCATTACTGTCTTTTTATGTGTATTTTAGCTTGGAAGTTCAGACGGTCTGTCTGATGTTTTGGGTTGGTTTTTCTTTTGGTAAAGCAATGTAATCTTTGCAAGCGTATATTGAAGATTCTTCTGGAGCATCTGCCAGAATGTTAGAAGTAAAGAAAGTGCTCTATAGGTGAAATAGGTATGTTTCAATTAGCTAGGTAATGCAGTCCATTTGTTACCAAGAACTTTCTTTAATAGGCACCTTCTGCTTTCATCTTGCAATCTGAGAACTCCTGAATTTAACAAGACTTGTCTTAGGAAACTGGTTTCACTTTATTTTTTCCTTTCTTTTTGGCCTTTGGGCATTTCTTTTGCTCACAAGAGTAGTTTGTGCTGTTAAAGATGCCTGGAACCCTCTGAGAAAAGAGGTTTCTCCCCAGTTCACTGTATCTCCGTATGAAGAGATCTCCCCAACTCACTGTATATCTATATTAACAGATCTGTGGTTGTGCTATACCAGGAAAGGACTGTACCAAGGAAGGACAGGCATCAGAAGGATATTGTTCAGATAACTGAGGATACAGCTGCTGTCATGCCAGAGTCTCACACACTGTAGCAGTAAGCTGGGCTGTCTCTCCATTGCAAGGGAGGGTGAGAGGCTGGTTCAGTGCAGTGAGCTAGGATGAGGTAGCTGAGGTGATCAGATGCTCGCCTCCGTCAGCAGGGACTGATCCACAGGAAGCAGGTTTTGTGAGAAGGCTTTAGGAGTTACCCCCACACTCCACAAAGTCCCATCTTCATGTGCAAAGAGCTCTGCTGATCTAGGATGGTGTGAGTGTACCGACTCTGGCCCTAAAACATGGAATCAGTGAGGAGAGCTTGCTTCTTACTGCTGCCTGTGTGAAAAATAACCTCATGTTAAACCAGAGTGAAAGATGAAGAGGTGATAATGTGTGTGAAATATCAGACTTCTCTGGCAGGTGATAATCAGTGCATTCCAAAAATATTAATATACCGAATCAGACTGACAGGAAAATTAATCCTCATTAGATGAAATGAATCTTAAAAGAGAACTGAAAGTACATTATAGCAAATAGGAACTCTTCTTCCATGTCACCAGACTCCACTGTATTAGTGATGGGGGTTAAAAACCAGAACACAGTTCTTGATTTCTGTACTCGTTGAGGTAGTTTCTATATATGCATATATATGCACATCCATTAGCCAGCAGTGACATCTCAACCCTTAAAGAATCCTGGAGAACTGTTGCTTGTCAAAAAGCACTCAGGTTAGCCTAATGTTTGCAGCTTCTGCTCTAACATACATTTACAGTAGGTGTAAAGACAAGGAATGTATGAAAGAGGGTAAATGCATTCCTATCTGCAATGTTATGTATATTTTGTTCCTGTTATATTGGCTTTACTTCCAAAGTTGTAGTTTGCAGTATTAGTTTCTTTTTATTGGTATCCTTGCATATATATATTCAATAAATGAGTTATGAATTTCATCTTTGCATATCTGTCCTTTTTCTGAATGCATCACTTCTACAACTTATCATTTTAATGCATAAATGCTGTATTTCCTATAGAGGTTACAGACCCAGGAACGTTTTGCCAGGAGAGAAGTGAGGATGCGTGCTTTGTGAGTATGGCACTTAGTGATAACTCTTTAATACTGGTGTATTCTTCTTAGCATGGTGCTGCTCTGCATTTACATGTTAATGGGAAGGGGCTGACTCACTGCAGGGTCCCAGTCTCACCTTTAAAGGACTTTTCTCTTTCAGAGGTGAATTAATTTAGACTGAGATACCAAGGGACTGCAGAGTCTGTCCTGGTTTTGGCTGGGATGGAGTTAATTTCTTCCTCATAGCCGGTGCCGTGCCATGGTTTGGATTTAGGATGAGAATAATGTTGATAACCCACTGATGGTTTTAGTTGTTGCTAAGCAGTGCTTATAGTAAGTCAAGGACTTCTCAGCTCCTCGTGCCCTGCCAGCAAGCAGGCTGGAGGGGCACAAGGAGCTGGGAGGGGACACAGCCACCCCAGCTGACCCCAGCTGCCCAAAGGGATGGTCCAGACCACATGCTGTGAACCCTGAAGGCTCAGCTTGTCTGCTTCCACCCGTCTGCTCAGAACTTGGGGTCAACTGTTAAAACTGGAAGATGAATGGAAAAGAGAAACTACTGGTAAGCTACTAAAACAAGGATCTAATGTAGTTTGTCCTACACCAGAGTAACAAGCTTGCAAAACAGGAGAAGCAGCGACACAGCTTTGCTTTAAGTGACTTTCCGTAAGGAAGCAGGGGAGTGTGGTCTGACACTGATTTAAAAGTGAGGTTACAAAAACCTCTTTGGAAAACCCTACTCTCAGTAGTCCTTCATCACCCACAGCCAGACTGCAGGGGTGAATTGGTTGCGGTTCTCTACACTTCTGCTCTGGTTTGATGGGGTTTTTGTTTCATTGTAGGGAACACCTGACCTGAGCTAACTACTCACCAGGTAGAAGACAATTCCAAAGAGTTAGAATGGGATTCACTAAATCCAGGGATGGATTTGACAGATCGTGTTTGTCCACTTCAGCAGAAGCAACATCAGCTGAACAAATACAGGACAGGCTGTGAGGGCAGCAGTTGTGCAGGAAAGTTCTCTTGAGGTTACAGCCAGGCACCATCTGAATGTGAGTCAACAGCATCCTGTTCCTGGAAACAACATAGACGATGATGTTGTGGAATGTATGAACAGGAATGTAGCGTGAGATGCATGACGTGGTCCTTCTTGCTCATGTGGTAGTAAAAAGCCTTTCTTGGAACGTGGTATCCAGTTGTAGGCATTGCACTTCATGGAAAGTGGGGCTTTCCATGGGCGTAACCAGAGGAAAGCAATGAAAAGGGTAACAGGTTGGATGAAGGGGCTTGTTTCAAGGTGAGGGGAGAGACATGGTTTCAAATCAGAGCTGCAGAGAAGGAAGGAAACACTTCCCCTCACTGCTGCAGGTAGGACAATTAAGGTACACTGCAGCAGAGATGTTTAGCTTGGACATCAGAATGGGCAGCAGCAGGAGTTCAGCTCTGGAATCCCTTTCTGGGCTGGTTGTGGGATCTCTGGAATCTGAGATTTTAGAGGAAACATCAGTGGGCATCTTGTGGGGCTGGTGTCGATGTCAGAGGTGCTGGGGACCTGAGTGCCTCCTGGCTTATGTATTCCTCCTGAGGCCTTCAGTGAGGCAGAGAACTACTGTTCTGGAGCAGAGCACCACGGGCGGAGCTCCTGAGCTTGACCTCAGGGCGCACAGCCATGTGTCTGCTTTATTCATCTTTGAAAATAGCTCTTGTGGTAATAAGAGCATCTGCAGGAGGCTGCCTAGTTGCTATGAACTTCCCGACACCGCCCAGTGCAAGGCACTTTCCATGCTCCCATTCCAGAGTGTTGGGAGCACTGAAACCCTCCAGCTTGGGAGTGAACGTGTCCCACACCTTGCATGTATGTCTATTGTGTGAGAACAAGTGGAGTGACAGCAGTGCTTCGTATGAACCTGTGGGTGGGATTCGTGCACCCAACTCCTTGATGCTCCTTGACTGCATGCGCATGTGGGATGCTGCAGTCTGGAGGGACTGGTCTCTTCCCCAGTTACTGCAGCAGGTATCTTAAACCTTCCCCTGAATTACTGCCAGAGGTTTCTTACTTCAAACCCCAGTTCTCTGCTTTAATTTTCCCTAACAACATTCAGCTTAGAAGAGAGCAACCAGAGCTGGTGCTGCTGGGTTTATATTCCTTGGATAGACGTGCAGGTTGCTTGGCACACATGCAATGCCCTATTTCATGCTGCTGGCCAAAGAAAATAGCCTATACCCCTGTGCAGAG